CAATGGTGTGTTGCATAAATAAAAGTTCAATCTGTCCCTTCCTCCCCCCCCCCCCCCCCCCAAATTTCTTAACAGTGTCCAGATCCAGCAATCTTTCTATTTATAGACTCTCGTTTGTTACAGAAACTGATCCTGAAAATCCAGAGCCAACAAGTGAATGCCCATCCCCAGATACTCCTCTGAAGACCTGCAAGAGTCCTCTAAAACCAAGCAAGGTACCCTTTCACACATGATCGAGTTTCCGGGTGGAGGGAGGGAGGGAGAGAGAGAGAGAGAGATTGAATTTTATTACTCTGCTTCTGCTGAATGGTCATTTGACAAATGTCTCACCATCATAAATTTGGACTAAATTTGGTGGTCGGAAGTCGAGGACTCCCTGTATTTCAAATACTACAGAATGTGCCTGCTTTGTTTCTAAGTAAGATTTCAAAAATGTTTAGTTGTTGAAATGACATTGAAGCCATTATCCTATTAATGCCATGTATTGAAGTGATCTATTAATACCAATTAAATATTGCCTTAATTGTTTTTTTGTTTTGTTAAAGAATTAGGTAGCTACCTTAATATAAATATACCTTGCTAATTCACCAAGAGACGTGACATTTTTGGGCTGCAAAATGAAAGAGTCGACAAGTTTTAAACGAGTTCTTTAAATGTTAAAGCTATGACTTTTTTTTTCCAGAAGTTTTGATTATTTATGTATAGTTCACAGAACAGAGATATTGTTTCTTTCTTTTCATGAGGTTCAAAAAGTTTTTCAAAAAAAGATGTAGACACCAATTGTCATCGGACATGAGTGTGTTTTAGACCAGGGGTCTCAAACCTTGGCAACTTTTAAGACCTGTGGACTTCAACTCCCAGAATTCGTCAGCCAGCTTTGCCAAGGTTGGAGACCCCTGTTTTAGATAACAGACGGGCACTTACGCTTCTTTCTCTCCATACAGACTTCTTCTTCACCAAATCCTGTCGTTCCTGTTCAGTCACTTGGAAAAACGCCCACGAAGCAGGATTCCCAGTGGGAGAGTGCAGGAGACACTCCTGGGGCTGACAACACAACTCACCCCAAACCAGACCAGCAACAGAAACTGCTGTCCAACAACGCCGAAGCACTTTCGAAACCACCTCCCCCATCCCAGCCCCTCCTGCGCAGCAGCACGGCTGACCCGCTCTCCCAGAAGCCGCCTCCGGCACCGCCGAAACCCCCTTGCCCCACTTCACCCCACGTAGAAAACCCTCCCAAGCCCTCCACCCCCCTCACTCCGGCTCAGCATGGCTACCTGTCGCCAAAGCCTCCTTCCCAACCATTAGGATCACCATACCGACCTCACCACCCGCCGTCTCCTCAGGTGGGGACGCCTCAGAGAGACTCTCACCGGGGGTTTTACGCCGCCACCCAAACTCTCCAGCCTAGCGCCCAGCAGCCGAACACCGGGACGTTATTTCCCCCAACCTCTTCGGTCTCTTACAGTCAGTTTCATCAACAGACTCTGAACGCTGCCGCCCCGCCTCCCCCTCCCCCTCCGCCACCTTCCTCCACTTATTATCAAAACCAGCAACCCCCCTCAGGAAACTTTCAAAATTACAATCCGATCAAAAGCATCCCGTCCCAACCAAACGTCTTTCCCTCCGGACCAAACCAAGCCCTCGCCGGCACCGCCTGTCAGCAGCCCGTTTCGGGCCACCTTGTCAACAGTGGGCACTTCCTGCCATCTCCGACGGCCAGTATTCATCATCAGAGCTCTGTGGTGGGGGCGCCCCCGCCTCCACCCCCTCCTGCCGCTCCCGGACCACACCTCGTGCAGCAGCAAAACCCGCAGCACGCCGTAGCCCACGGGGTGAGTCCCGTGCATGCCGTGGCCGCCGGTTCCCACATCCATTCTCAAGCTGCCAGTCAACACCTGCCTCCACCACCGCCGCCTCCTCCGGCCCCCCTCCCTCATCACCTCCCTGCTCATCCCACCACAGCCCATCAAGGTTTGCAAGCACAACACCAGCACGTAGTCAACTCGGCCCCGCCTCCGCCGCCCCCACCACCACCTTCCAATGTATTAAGCTCCAGTCATCACACGGCACCGGCCCAAGGACTACATCACCCATCTCACCAAGGCCCCTCCCTTTTTCCTTCAAGCGCTCATTCAACAGTGTCAACTTACCCATCACAGCCGCCGCATCATCCCCCTTTGGGAACCGGACCTCAGCATCAGCCAACTGGAACAGGGCCGCACTGTCCGCTCCCCGGCCAGGGTCCACACCTCCAGCCCCAAGGACCAACCAGTATTGCCACCCCTACGGCGTCCGGGTTCTGCCCTCATCCTGGCTCTGTGTCCCTTCCGCATGGCGTACAAGGACCTCAGCAGGCATCTCCGTTGCCCGGGCAAATACCTATTCACAGAGCACAGGTGCCGCCGACGTTTCAAAACAATTATCATGGTTCCGGGTGGCATTAAAAATGGAGTCCCCCTCAACTCCCCCCCCCTTTCCCTTCCTCCTCGCTTCTAAACATTTTAAAAATGTTCTGTAAAAATCTGTATATTTCATATGTACCTGTTCAAGGTACTTTTTAAAGCTTGTACATTATACTTTGTATAAAAGTGAACACCAGTGCGCGCGTGCTTTTCATCGTATTCTTTCCAGTTTTTGCTTTTTCAAAGAAAAAAAAAATCCCTAAAACCGTGCGGCGAAAGCCGCCGGTTTCTTTTAGGTGGTTTTTTTTTTTAATTATTATTTTGTACATGAACATTCCAGCTCCGTTTGTTCTGGCAGTAGATTTGTTGCTGCATAACTTTTAAATTTTATCGTTGCAGTTAAAAATTCATTTAGTGAATGTTTTCTATATTTACTTTTTATACATATGTAATTAAAAAAGAAGTAGTACACGGCTAAGTGACGGCACTAACAGATTTTTTTCCCCATCTGTCAACAGTTTTTGTGTGCATATAGTAGAAGGCGCAATACAGATTTCTTTTTTTATATAGTTTGGTGTGAACATGGCTCCTTTATTTTCAATACTTCTTTTCAGACATTGTAATTTAATGTATAGATTGTTTCTAATGTCTCTGACAGGTGCTGTAAATACTGTTCCTTTTGCGTGTAAAACTGCTTAATGCTTCTCATTTGATATAGTATTGTACATACAAGTCTTTTGCAAAAGTGTGTGATCTTTGTGAAAGTAGTACAGTATATGAACTTTTAATTTTTTTTTTAAATATACTGTCACATTGCAGCACTGGTTGGGCATTTTAATTCATGTTAATAAATCACAATTATGTCAGTTTTAAACCCTCTCGTTTTGCTAATTTGCTGGTTTAAGAAAATGTACGTTGAAACGGTGTTGTGGGTGCCTTAGCTGCTCCTCAGTGGACTGAACCTCGGCCCAAAGGATGCTTGTAATCACTGAGCCGGTTAGTCTGTTAATCCGCAGGATGAAATTCGGAAGAAATTTAACAACTGGCAGCCATTTTTTTTTCCTGATAGTTACATCAGTTAATTAGTGGAACAACTTGCCACCAGAAGCTGCGAATGAAGTTTTTAAGAAGAGATTGGACAACTATTTTTCTGAAATGGCATATGGTCGGTCTCCTGCTTAATTAGGGGGTTGGACTAGAAGACCTCCAAGGTCCCTTCCAACTCGTTTATTCTATTCTCTACTCTTACGCTACTCTATTATCCAACATAACAGTGCTGTCTTGAGGAAAATGCTACTCCTGCTAGTTAGCAGAAACTACTACAGCTATTAGTGTGTGATTTATCAAATGGCATTCTTCAATGCTAAATGCTACAGGTAGTCCTTGACTTACAACAGTTCATTTAGGGACTGTTCAAAGTTACAGTTATGACCTTTGGCATCCACGTAATCAAAATTCAGCTGCTTGTCAATTTGTTGTTATTTACGATGCTCACAGTGTCCCGGGGTCACGTGATCCACTTTTGCGACCTTCGGACAAGCAAAATCAATGGGGAAACCGGATTCGCTTAACAACCGGGTGATTAACTTCTCAACTGCAGCGATTCGCTTAACTGTGCCAAGAAAGGTCGTAAAACGGGATAAAGTTCACTTAACAACCGCGTTACTCACTTAAGGACTGCACCGATTCGCTTAACTGTGCCAAGAAAGGTCGTAAAACGGGATAAAGTTCACTTAACAACCGCGTTACTCACTTAAGGACTGCACCGATTCGCTTAACTGTGCCAAGAAAGGTCGTAAAACGGGGCAGAACTCACTTAACACGTCTCGCTTAGCAGCAGGATTTTTGGGCTCCATTGTGGCCGTAAGTCAAGGACCACCTGTATTGATAAAACTGGCAATAAACGAGAACCACCAAATGTTCTGGGGTAATTGTAAAGCTACTACGACTTAGGTTTTCTTGAAATATAGTCGTCTCCATCCTTCCGAATGTATGCAATCATTAGCACAATATTATATGCTGAAATGAGAAGTAGCTGCTCCTTCCTACCTACATGTAGCAGGATTCCTTCTTACCTGCTTCCTCCATTAGGTGGACACAATAAAGTCCTCAATTTAGCAGGTTACTCAGCAGAGATGCCTTTCTTTAATGTTACTTGTGGTGGTGCCATGTACACACCCACGGGTTTCGCCGAGACAGGAAAGCAGCCCGATAAACCAAGCTGCCACTGGGGAAGCCTTGAGGTCACCGAAAATGTTTGCTCGGCGGAATCTTTGCTGGGTTTATTGTCCCAAATTCCAATCGAGATCAAGCAGCGACTTCCCATGGAAATGAACACGGTCTCGAGCCAGATGTAAAATCACCTCCTTTTTATATAGTACATAAATAGAATACAGTATGCAAATAATCATTGGGGACAAGCTACGCAAACCAACGCAACTCTTCCATAATCGTATTCCGCATCCCCCCTCTCACATTACCCCCCCCCCCAAATTACCTACCCCTGGGAAAATTTTCAGTGAAGGGCAGGGAAAACAACCATCCAGGAATCCTGTCCCCTTCCTGAATCGAGGATTTGCATATTGCCGTAAGCCAGTTGGGGCAAAGCATGATGAGATGACCTCCTCCCATTGATTAGGTTCCTTGCGAGGCTGTTAACCAGCGGACAGCGACCGCAAGGCGTTGAGGTCCTTTTGCGCTCTCCGAACTGGGTTGGTTTTCTTGCCGACGTTTCATGACCCAACTAGGTAACGTCATCAGTGCCGAGTTTCCTAGTTTGGGTCAATGAAACGTCTGCAAGAAAACCACCCAGCTTGGAGAGAGTCAAGGACTGTTCATCTGAAGCTAGAGGCATCCTTTGGAAAGGGATTGATCCAGAGCGGGGGGGTGGGGTGGGGTGTGTCAAACTTGATTTCATTGAGGGCCGCATCAGGGTTACGTTTGACCTTGGCGGCGGGGAAGAGGGCGTGGCCAGCTCAACACAGCCTTCCCCAAGGTCTGTTTTCACTGACAGAGGGCTGCAAGACACCGTTGCGGCCAAAACGGAGCCCGGGCAGGCCATGCCCGACCTACCCAAGGTCTGTTTTCACTAGCAGAGGGCTTCAGGAGGCCGTTGCAGATGAAAACGGAGCTCGGGAGGGTTGTGCGTGGCCCTCCCGAGCTTTCTTTTCACTGGCAGAGGCACCGCAGGCTGGTTCTTCGCTGTTTTCAAGGGGAGGCGGGCTGCGGACCGGATCTAAGCACCCTGCGGGTCAGATCCAACCCACAGGCCTTGAATGGGACACCCCTGGTCGAAAGCAATTTATGACATGTGGGGCTTTTTCCCCCCTGCAAACGTGGTTGTGTACCGATAGTCCTTTTATGGGCTTTGCCGGATTCCATCCAAAATCTGTATCTATAACCGTGGCACGACAAAACCGCGGTCCACTAAAGCGTGCCCGATTAAAGCGCGTACCTGACGTCATCANTTGAAGTCCACAGGACTTAAAGTCGCCAAGGTTGAGAAACACTGGCCCATCAGATGATGGGGTTAAGAGAAGGAAAACGGTGACTAGTTTGAAATACAGGCAGGCCTCAATTTACAACCATCATCCAGCCCCAACGCTTAGGTTGCTAAGTGAGAAATTTGTTAAGCAGGTTATTTTACGGCTTCTATCTCCACGGTTGTTGAGCGAATCCTGCAGTTCTTGAATGAGTCACACGGTTGATGGTGAATTCTAGTCCCACTTTAGGCACAAACACCAGCTGGGTGTCTTTGGGCAAACCACCAGGCGACAGTGAGTTCTAGCCTTCCTTAGGCACAAAAGCTGCCCTGGATGACTTGGGCCAATCACCAGAGGACGATGAGTTCTAGTCCCCGTGAAACCAGGAGGCAGAGGGTTCTAGTCGGGCCTTAGGCCTGAAAGTTGTCTGGATAACTTTGGGCCAGTCCCCCCCCCCACACACAACTCACTCTCTCTCACCCCCAACCCACCTCACAGGTTGTGGGGAAAATAGGAGGAGGAAGAGGCGGTGCATATGTCCCCCACCGTGAGTTATTTGTAAAAATAATAAAAGCTGAGATACAAATAAGCATTCATTCATTTATTATTTCATTTCATTTCAGCATGGGGCAAAGAGTCGTTATGGGTATGGTACAGCATGGGTGTGTGCATATCTTTCAGTGGGTGCCATGATATCACAATGCACACGCACACAATTATAATGAATGCTTGCATTGGATGTCTATGGAGGGAGCTTTGCTAAATCCTATTTTTTTTCTGTTTTGGAAACAGCCTAATAAAAGTTTCTTCCATCTTTGCCTAGCTAGCACCTCGGTGGCGCAGTGGTTAGAGCGCAGTACTGCAGGCTCCTTCTGCTGACTGCCGGCTGCCTCCAATTTGGCAGATTGAATCTCGTCAGGCTCCAGGTCAACTCTGCCTCCTCCCATCCTTCCAAGGTGGGTAAAATGAGGACCCAGATTGTTGTTGGGGGCAAGAGAGAGGGCTGTAAAGCACTGTGAAGTGGTATATAAGTGCTCTTCCTTCCTCTCTTATTCCCTTTCTCAATCTCTTTCCTGAGGGTGCAGTGGTTAGAATGCAGCATTTCAAGGTAACTCTGCCCACTGCCAGCAGTTCGATCCTGACCGGCTCAAGGTTGACTCAGCCTTCCGTCCTTCTGAGGAGGGTAAAATGAGGACCCAGATTGGTGGGGGCAAGAGACTGACTCTGTAAACCTCTCAGAGAGGGCTGTATAATCCCTGCAAAGTGGCATATATGCCTGAGGTCTTTTGCTCTTAACTGGTTTTCTGCTTTGATCATCTTGTTTTAGACTTTATTCCACTTGAAGCCACGTGATGGATTCCTTTGTGAATTTTGTACAATGGTAAACAAAGGAAAAACAAATAAGAGAACTGGGAAATCCTGTTAGATAAATTATTAGTACAACTGTAGCAGAGGTTGACTTTTTTTTTAATCCAGAAGAATTCACCCATAAAATTGCTATTGTGCAATTTGCGAGTTGTTGTTTTTTTACTTGCTGATTGCACAATAGCAATTTATGGGTGAATTCTTCTGGATTAAAAAAAAAGTCAACCTCTGCTACAGTTGTACTAATAATTTATCTAA